CTGGGTGGCGTTTCACAAGCCCCGCTGCTTTCGGAGAAGGGCTTCTCTTTCCCGCTTCCCCCCCGTCGCTCGCCGCCGACAGGCGGGAGGGCCGGCGCGTGCCTTTTCGGTGCCTTGGCGCGGGCGCTGATCGGCGCAGCGGCTGGCCCTGTTGAGCTGGCCCTCCCCTCTTCTGCCGGTGGGGCCGCCTACGGCGATGCTCGTGGTCCAGCTCGTGGATGCTTCCTTCTAGGCGGCGCGCGCGAGTGGGCAGGGTGGGGTGGGCGTGGGGGGCTTCTTATCTGATGGCTGCTTCTTAGGGGGCCAGCGCTTTCTAAGAAACAGCCTTCTTCGAGACGCCTTCCCCCCGCCCCCCGCCCCGTTGCGCGCGCCGCCAACCTCTTCTGCGAGGAGGCCGCCCGCGGCGATGCTCACGTTCTTGTTTGTGGATGATTCTTCCATTCCAGTCGGACGAGCGAGGCATGGCGCGCGCTGGCGCAGGCCTTCCACTGCTTTACCATCATTGTCGCCATCGGTTTCAGGGGGGCGCCCATGGGTCAGCTGTTATGGTGGTGTGGCCGCTGGGGCCCGACGCGCCCGTTTGCGGTGGGGTCGCAGGCGTGGCCGTGCGATTCGTTTCGCAGCTCGACGTGTTCGGCGCCCCCTTGGCGCGGCGCTCCTCTATGGGCCCCTTATTGGGCCTGGCATGCTCCAATCTACGGGAGGTTGCGCGGCGCTCGTCTGGGGCGCTCACAGACAGGGGCTTCGGTTTACCCTTCCTGTTGGACCAATTGCGCATCCGCGCCGAGTCTATGGCCCTTTTCGGGCTTGAGCTCTTGGCATGCCACGCCAGTGGCTGTAAGCACTTGGCAGCGCGACTGAATTCGGCGCGTAGGGAGGTTGCAAGGTGCTTGCTGGGGCTGGCAACTCCTCCTGCATGATCTGGCGACATGGCACAGGTGGCTGCGTCCGAGCCTTCCTGGAGACCCGTGCACTGACGCGCGTTGCAGCTCAGGTGGCCCAGTGCATTATCCTAGCCTGGGCCCGGATGCTGGTGCCTCCGCAGCAGACCCCGACCCGATTGCCCCTGCGATGCGTGCTGCTACGTGAATATGTAGGCCGTGCGAGGCCCGGCTGCATCGCGCAGCTGCGATTGCCCGCGCGTTTGGGGTGGGCGCTCCGCCCGTCTCCCTGGCTTTCGCAGCGGAGAAGGACCTTGTGGTTCGTCGCGCCGCAGTCAGTCCGTGGCTGGGCGCGCCGCTGCGTGGTTCCGAAGGTTCGGGAGGCAGGGCGAGCAGGGTTCTGTGAGAGGCTCGCCCTCCTGCGACGAGGGGCTGGCCCCGCTTGCGGAGCTGCCCCCTCAGCACCGCGCCTGGCTGGAGGCCTCGCTCGGGACCCCCCGGGGGAAGGACCAGATGGCGCTTCCACCGGGCGTGGTGCGTGGCCCAGATCACGGCCGCGGTGCCGGTCGGTCTGTCGGAGGTGTGCCTTCTGAGTAGCAGGCGGCCAGTGGGGTTGCAGCCTTCGCTGGTGGAGTGCGTATTCACCGAGGCTTGGCGCCCCGCGGCGCCGCGCAAGTGGACCTCCTCCGCTGCCTCCGAGATCGAGGCGAAGATCGGGTATGTGGGCCTGACGAGCGCAGCCAGTGTCTATGCCTGTGGGGCGCCCCCGACGACAATGCGCCGCGTGCCCTTCGCGCCGCGTGGCCTTCCTCCCCCCGCGGCCTTGGCGGCGGGGCACGGCCCCGCCGGGCCAGATCAGGGTGGCGCGTGCAGCCCGCGACGCTACGCGCCCTTCGGACTGGCGTTGACGCCTCGCTGAGCTGGGGGCTCGGCGGCCACCGGGGCCCCGGGGCCGCCAGGGGCGCCGTCGGGGAACGTCAAACTCCCAAATGAAACGCTGAACGTGTCGCTGGCGAGGCCCTTGGCGTTTCGCGCGGGTTCTGTTGGGCGATCCTTCGACGGCCCGGTCCCCCTCGGCGCCGCCTTGAGGACCCGGATGCCTGGGTGAGCGGTCGCGGCCATGCTGTGGACCCGCGGGTTTTCCTCGGCGCCTCCAGTGCGGGGCGGGAAAATTACCGCAGCCGCTGCTTCTTGTTTGCGCCGCCTTCGAGCCGGCCGCAAAAGAAGCAGCGGTTGTGGTCATATCCTTGGTGTCAAGCTCAACGAAAATGACCACAACCACTGCTTTGTTGCTGCGGGCTGGAAGGCGGCATCAAAAGAAAAGCTGTGGCTGTGGTCGTTTTCGCGCCCCGTATCCAGGCGTTATGGTGCGAGGCTGTCCCCGAGCCTCCATGGGGGCGCCGCGTGCCGTGGCCTCGTCGGTTGGGTGCGTGTCCGACACGTGAGCCCGACGGGGCACTCTACGGGAGTCTGCTGCCCTGCACGGCGCGCCCACGTGATTAGGGTGGGCGGCTGCGCTGCTGGCTGCCGGTGCGGAGCAGCGTGCCCCCTGCGTGCCCAGGGCGTGCACAATCGGGCGGGCGCCGGGCGGCAGTCGTCGGGTGGCGCCCTGGGGGGGGTGCCGCCCGGCACCCCGTGGCGCTGGCCCGTGGGCACTCGGGGGGGGTGGTTGGCGGTTGCAACGGGGTGGATCTGCCCCGAGGGCCCCCCGTGGTGTACGCAGTCAGAACACGCAATCTTCCTGCTTTTCCTCCTCCCTCTCGCCTTCTCCTCCTCTACCTCCACCTCCACTTCCCTCCCACCCGCCTGCCCCTGCTCCTCTTCCTCCTAGCTCTTTCCCCTGCTCCTCCTCCCCCTCTTCCTTCTTCTCCTCCTACCTCCTTCTATCCCTCCTTTCCTCCCCTTTCCCCTCCATTCTTTCTTCCCTCCCTCCCCATCCCTCCCGGCTCTCCCCCCCCTCGCCCGCTCTCCTCCTCCTCCTCCTTCTTTGCCTCCTCCTCCCTTTCCTCCCCATCAGCCCTTTTATAACTCCTCCTCGTCGCACCCCCAGACGTGTCGGTAGGGCGGGCTGGGAGGGTTTCTTTCGCCCGAGACTTCACCGATTCTATGATCTGGAAATTTGACATTTGCAACAGTTTCAAAGATGGAGGAGGTAATTATGGTTTTCAACTTGTGGCGCGCTCCAGCGCTGCGCGCATTTGTGCCAAAAGTCAGCAACATTTTCAAAGATGGAGGAGGGATGTTTTTTTCAGATGTGGCGCTCGCCTGAACGCCGCGCACAATCGTCTTAATATATTCTGCCACGCTCAAGAATGAGAGGGGGCCGTTTTCAAAATGCAGCTTTCGCCTTAGGGCAGCGCGTATTCGTTACAAAGGTTTGCGGCAGTTGCGAGGAAGGAGGGCGTCTTTTTGTTTTGTTTCTTTTTTTCTTTCAAAAGGTGGATATTGCTTCAGCGCTGCGTACATTCGTCTCGAAAACTTGCACCCGTTTCAAGGATGGATGGCGGTTCCTTTTCAACAGAAGGTTCGCACCGCGCGCATTCGTCGTAAAAGGCTTGGAGCCGTGGATTTGTGGGCTATTCTTTAAAACAAAGGTGCCTTTCGCTGGATATTTTTCCAATTTGCAATATCAGGAATTTGAGCCAACAGCGTCTCGGTTAAAGGGCGGATCCTTTTCAAAACTGGGCGTTCGGTTGAGACTTCGTTCTCTAATAGCTTCGGCCTATCCCGCCACCATGCCTGGGTGGTGGGTCAGAGTCTTCAGGGGTGCTTCTTGGGGTCTCTTGGGAACGCTCTCGGGGGCCTCTTGGGGGCAGTTTTGGGTTTTTTTGGGAGCCTCTGGGGGGCTTCTTGGGACTCTTGGGCCGTCATGAGGCGATCCTGCGGGCCTTTTGGGCCGTACCCGATCGGGAAACCGCAAAGACGAGAACGCCCAAATCTGTCAACCACCCAGGGGAAATCACAGAGTAAGTTCTGCCTCTCGGGAGGCCTCTTGGAGGCCTCGCTTGGGGCGCCTTGGGGGCATCTTCGACCATCTGGCGGCCCTCTTGGGCGCCTTGGTTCGATCGTTCGACGACTCGGGGCACTTTTCGACCGCCTTGGGGGTCTCTTGGGGTTCTCTCGGCCCGTCCTGGGGCTCCTCTGGCGCCCCAGAAGCTCGGGCGTCCCACCCCGGCAGGGCGCACGACCCCGCCCGGGACCGCCCGGGACCGCCCGGGCAAGCGGGGGCCTGGGCCCCTTCGAGAGCCCCTGAGAGCCCTGAAGAGAGCCACAGGCCCCCTGCCTCGCCGAGCTGCATGCGCCTTGGGGCACTGCACTACAGTGCCGTTTTTGATACATGCTCCGCGTGCGGATCATGTATAAAAAATGCAGGGTTTAGCATTGAAAACAATGATGAGTTCATGCGTACATTTATTCATACATTAATCATGCATTAAAATCCATATGTTCAAAAATCCTATGTACTAAAAACTGCCCTGTAGTACCGAAGGCACGGTGGTCAAAACTGAGAGACCATACTTTTGAACATGCTGTGCAGCTGCACGGCGGCTCGTCTTCAAAACGGGGCTTTTGCTTGAGACTTCGACGCTCATGGCCAGAAGTGAGAACTCGTGCAATGATTACAGAGATGAGACCGCTCTTAAAAAAAAGGTGATGTCGCTCGACACCTCGGTGAACTTTACGACCATCCCTTCGCGCGTTCCTCGCTGCTCGCTGCAAGCTGGTCTTTCGGGGGGGTGCCTCTTGAAGGGGAAAGGAAGGACTGCAGGGACTTCTGAGAAGGACACTTTGGACGGGCGGGTTCGGATGCAACTCCTGGGAGGTCAAATTCTGAGTTGCCCCTGGTCCGAAATCTGGCTTAATGCGGCTTAATCCCGCTTAATCCGGCTTAATCCTGCTTAACCCGGCTTAATCCCGGTTGAACCGCGGCCTAGTCCTGCGTAGTAGCCCCCCAGTGGGGCTTCATTCTCTTTAGTCTTTCCGACGAAGACCTCCCAGTAATTGCCTCCTCAGGAGGGTGTACTGCAGCGCCGTTGATGCAGTCTGGGTTTACCCCAGTCGTCCTCCCCGGACGGACGCCGCCCCGCCGCTGGTCCGCTTGCTTCCTCGCCCGGCGAG